AGGAAGGAAGGAAGGAAGGAAGGAAGGAAGGAAGGAAGGAAGGAAGGTTGACTGAGCACTTTTGAAAGTGGCATTTCCAAATCATTCTATCATGTACCTTTACTTCCTTCTCCTTTAATTAGACATCTTTGGTTATGTGCCCTAGTCATTTTTGACTACTAATGCTGAGGGAGGGAGGGAGGGAGGGAGGGAGGGAGGAAGGAAGGAAGGAAGGAAGGAAGGAAGTAGAGAAAGAAGGAAGGGATGGAGGGAGGAAGGAAGGGAGAAAAAGAGAGAAGGGAGGGAGAAAGGAAGGAAGGAAAGAAGGAAGGACAAAACAGAATAATAATAATAATAATAATAATAATAATAATAATAATAATAATAATAATAATAATAATAATAATAATAATAGTGAAAAAGAACACAATGGAAATACATTAATGTAACACATTGAATACATGCTACATATTGATAACTTTGAATGCATCAATGCGGTACATAATATCTAATATCCTGTCCAATACCTCTGGCTGAGTAGAAATGGGGGAAGATTTTTTTTTCTCTGTTTATTTTATTGTTAACTGCAATTATTTATTTATCTAGCTAGTTAACAAAATGCATGCTGCTCTAGGAGCATAGGCAATTCCTTTGTTTTGCTTTTAATCTTAGCTACCTGTCCAGTTCATCGGTCGGATGTCCTCTTCCCTCTTGTCCACAAAAACAGCCATATAATTCGAACTCCTCTGGACACCGGTTAGTCAAGCAGTAGAGCATCTCACCCAACTGTGGAAACTCTTGTTTGAGTTTTCCATTATCACCCCGTTGTAGAAAGGAGAAACGATCACACGCTGTGGAGAGGAGATACACATTTCACAGTTTTATTCTGTTGAGGACATATTCAGAGGACTACGGAATTCTCTTTTCTGCTGTGTCTCTAATATTCTTCAGGTTTTCTACCCTTTATCTTCCAACCTTCTAGAGAAGATCTAAGCATCAGAAAAATAAGGCTGAATTGGGATAAAGAACCCATTTTTCTGGAACTGTCTATTCCACTAGCAAATGGCAGTTGTTGATATAACTTCTGTGTGCTGTTAAAAAAACAATTAAACCCAAGGTATCTCCTAAATGGTGGCCTAGTAGTAAAGGTGCTCGCCTCCCACTCAGAAAGTTGAGAGTTCAATCCTGGATTGTGGCAGATGTTTCTCTGTTAGGGCACAAGGAGAAAATATCTGCTATGAACTCCACATGGTGTCAGGGAGGGCATCCAGCCAGTAAATGCTCAGCTCCATCCAGTCACTGTGATTCTACCCTGAATTAAGGGATTCCAGAGTCACGAAATGGAGGGGTGTTTTTTTTTAATATCTCCTAAAGAATTAATACACTAGTGAATCACGTTTTTTCTATTTACATTTTTCTTTAATGTACAACACTACTTTCTCAAAGTATCTTATAGGTCTCCTCTCTTTTCTTCCAGTTAAATTATTGGGTTGAGTGAAAGCATTTCATACCTTCTCTGAAAGATTCTTCAGGAGATGGTGACTCTTCTGGAATCGTTGTAGAAAATGTCACAGGTTCCTCCCCAACTATCTTGAAGAGATGTCCTGGATTTGGGGTTAAAAAGATGCCTTTTTAGTGGACATAAGATCTATTAAAGAAGTAACAAAAACAAAGCAGAATCCTGTAGCGTTCTTGATTTAAAAAAAAACAAAACTGTGCCATCCTTCCATGAATTTCACTTTAAATAAGTCGTCTTATATATAAAAAGTATTGGTGCGGATGTTTGTGGATGTGGTGGCTTAGTTGCTAAGATGCTGAGCTTGTCGATCAGAAAGGTTGGCAGTTCGGCCATTCGAATCCCTAACGCCACGTAACGGAGTGAGCTCCCATTACTTGTCCCAGCTTCTGCCAGCCTAGCAGTTCGAAAGCACGTAAAAAATGCAAGTAGGAAAATAGGGACCCCTTTGGTGGGAAGGTAACAGTGTTCTGTGCGTCTTGGGCATTTAGTCATGCCAGCCACATGACCACGGAGACGTCTTCGGATAGCACTGGTTCTTCGGCTTTGTAATGGAGATGAGTACTGCCCCCTAGAGCCGGAAATGACTAGAGCTGCCCCCTAGAGCCGGAAATGTGCGAGGGGAACCTTTACCTTTTACCTTGTATTGGTGCAGAAGAGCCGTGGATTAATCCTGCCATGGATAGACAAAGACTAGAATGATAATGATGATTAAAAAAGAGTAGAGGTGCACTTTAAACCTACAAGCACAGATGTGCTTGCATTGCCCTTTTTTCCTAACGAATCCTATGGCAACAGGAATTTTCACTTGCCGCTGTTTGCTGGTCTTGGAAATTCTGAAGCTGGCGTGAAGTCTGCTTCTGGTGTGCTAATCCCAGGTGAAGGAGTTGTGGTTCTTATGGTAGCCAAATAGCTCTCTGACAATCCTGAGAAAAGATGCAGGTGTCAGCCTTGAAAACCATTTTTTTTACTTGGAAGCTTCCAGGCTGCCACATTTAGTGCCTGGGAATTTGGGAGGGGGGATTTCATAGTAGGGTAGAAGATTAGACGCAACAACATTCTTTCTCAGAGAGTCAAGGACATGTTTCCCTGCACCTGGAAGGGAGTGACTGGGAGGATGTCTCCAGTTGGGACAATGATTTGATTGGGCCATGTGATGGACTGATGGGTGCTGGGGATGGATCTTTGATTTCTCTTTTGGGAAGGGAAAACCTGGAACTCTCAGATTTGGGTTTTCCCAGATGTGCCAATGTGAAAATTCTGTTGAGGAATTGTTTATCTCGGAGTTTATTGGTTTGGAGTTGGTTAGTTGGAACAATGACAGCAGGATTAACTCCTTTACTTCTTAATAGGATTAGACTCTATATTAATTTAAGTCAAGTATAAATATGTTTTCTCCCACCCAATCTCCCAAGTCTTGCTATATTGCCTTAACACACGGGGAAAGATACACTTGGTAGGAAGGAATGTTGGCTGTAAGATGTGTATATACTCTTAGCAAAGTCACTTAAGGCATAAAAGTTTTTGCAAGCCAGGTTACTTTCAGTTGCACCCTTTTTAAAGGCCAGCATAAAAGGAAGACACATGATGTTTCCAATAACTGTAAATTAAGCAAACACTTTTCACAGCAGGATTGAGGATTTGTTTACCCTGGGAACAAACTGCAAGTACCAACTTACCTCTTAGTTCAGAATTATCAAAAGCAATAGTTGCATCCTTCTGGGTTACAGCTATAAAGCAACATACAGAAGAAAAGTTTGTGTTACCATATCAGATAATGTTTGTGGTTTTTGTAATTTCCTTGATCAGGAATATTTTAAAACATGACTCTCTAAGCAATCAAATGCCTTTTCTATTTCAGTGAGCTGCAGTGGTGCAGTGGTTAGAGTGCGGTGCTGCAGGCGACTTCTGCTGACCGCTGGCTGACTGCAGTTTGGCAGTTCAAATCTCACCAGGCTCAAAGTTGACTTTGAGTTACCCACCTCAGAAGGGTAAAATGAGGACCCGGATTGTTGGAGGCAATATGTTGATTCTGTAAACCATTTAGAGAGGGCTGTAAAGCCCTGTAAAGTGGTATATAAGTCTAATTATATTCCTTTTTACAGATGATGAAAACTGAAGTTCGATGCTTAACTGAATGAGCTGAAGTAAACTTCTATCACTTCCAGAAATGACCAAGAAAACTACAGGAGAGAAAGAAAGGGGAAGGAAGGAAGGAAGGAAGGAAGGAAGGAAGGAAGGAAGGAAGGAAGGAAATCCCCAATGAGCTCTTGCTAAATACAAGAATTTATTATATTTGAATTAGATAAGGTTTGAACCACATTTGTCTCTTAGGCAATGCTTGGACCATCTGGATGTTGAAAAAAAAAGTGCTTCCTGAAATGGCTTATGGTTCAGCCCATGTTGAAGTATGTTGAAATACATTTTCTACATGTTTTCATAATGAAACATGAAAACCTATACAGTACCCCCTCCTCTGAAGATTTCAAGGACTCCACTGCTCTCAGCATCTGAAGAAACTGAAAGAAAAACAGATATATCGGGTATAAAAAATGTGCATGGATTTAACCTAGTAACAAGCATCAAATCATCAAATAATTTATAACAAAAATCTGTTCGTTTGAAGGAATCCGTATGAGGAATGAAATCTATCTCAAGATGAAATTTCTTAGAGCAGCGATTCTCAACCTTTTCTTTACCATTTATCTTTAAATACCTTGTGTGGCCATGGACCATCAAGGCTTAACTAAAGATTTAAATCAGAACTTTTCTTCAAGCCTTTGTTGACCCCCTGTGATGACGTTGGGGGCTGCCCAGGGGTCTGCAAATCAAAGGTGGATAACCACTGTCTTAGAAAAAAAATTTCTTTCAGAGCAGATGGTGAAAGATTGGCACTTCTGTGTACTGCTAACATAGACCAAAGGCTATCACAAGCCTTTCAGGAATCAAGTGATGAAAAGGTTACTTTGGTATGAATCTCAATCACTGACCAAGGTGCATCAGTTTTTTATTTATTTATTTATTTATTTGATTTGCCAATTGTTTACAAGATAATAAGTATAAGCGTATACATAATTGTGAATACATGAAATGGGTACATATAAGAAAAATAAAAGAAGAATAAGAGAAACGGTAGGCACGTTGGTGCGCTTATGCACGCCCCCTACAGACCTCTTAGGAAAGGGGTGAGGTCAATAGTAGACAGTCTAAGGTTAAAGTTTTTGGGGTTTGGGGAAGAAACTACAGAGTCGGGTAGAGTATTCCAGACATTGACCACTCTATTGCTGAAGTCATATTTCCTGCAATCAAGTTTGGTGCGGTTAACATTGAGTTTGTATCTATTGTGTGCTCTTGTGTTGTTATGGTTGAAGCTGAAGTATTCATTGACAGGTAGGACATTGCAATGTATGATTTTATATACCATGCTTAAATCAGACCGAAGACAGCGTAGTTTTAGCTATGGATTAAAGAGATCTACCTTGAACGGGATCCTTCACCAGCCTTTCCACTTTGTCTCCTGTGTATTCACATATTTGATCGATATGATATGATATCAGGGCATCAATGATTATAAAAGCAAAGGGCAAGAAGTCACATTTGTACATAGTTAGATGCTCCACTTTTTTTTTTCTATCTGCCCAGTTAGATGTTTCACTTTCCCTTTTTCCTGATAAGCAATGATAACAGAATAAGAGAGTTGGAAGGGACCTTGGAGGTCTTCTAGTCAAACTCCCTGCTTAGGCAGGAAACCCTATAGTATTACAGACAAATAGTTATCCAACCTCTTCTTAAAAACTTCCAGTGTTGGAGCATTCACAACTTCTGGAGGTGTTCTACTGATTTCCTTCATTCTAAGTTGCCTTCTCTCCTTGATTAGTTTCCATCCATTGCTTCTTGTCCTGCCCTCAAGGTGCCTTGGAGAATAGTTTGACTCCCTCTTCTTTGTGGCAACCCCTGATGTTTGTGGTAGCCCCTGAGTTTTCATTTAGTTTCCATCCATGGTTTCTTGTCCTGTCTTCAGATGTTTTGGAGACTAGCTTGACTCCCCCTTCTTTGTGGTAACCCCGGAGATATTAGAACACTGCTATCATGCCATCCCTAGTTCTTCTTTTCATTAAACTAGGCATACACAATTCCTGCAACCATTCCTCATATGTTTTAGCCTCCAGTCCCCTAATCATCATTGTTGCTCTTCTCTGTACTCTTTCTAGAGTCTGATGTAGAATTTATTTATTTATTTATTTAATTTGTCAATCGCTTACAAGATAATAGGTATAATTATAAACATGAGTAAGAATACAGGAAATAGGTATGAATAAATGGGGACAATAGGACAGGGATGGGAAGCTCGATGGTGCACAGGGGTGGGATATGCCAGGATTAACTACCGGTTCGAGATTTACAAGGTTTGGTGATTTATGATGTGCTTCCCTGCACGCTGCGAGTGGGCGCCTGTAAATCGTTGCCTGTAAATCATCATCAGCACGCTGCGTGCAGAGAAGCAGCCTCTGAAACAGCCCTCTTTTCCTGCTTTTTTAACTGCAGCTGTGCCTCGTTCGGCGGCTGAAGTTGAAAAATCAGGAAATAAAGATCAGGTAAGAGTCTGGGTGGGTGGGTGAGCAAAAACATCCGCAGACATAGAACCGGTTCTGTGTCTGCTGCTCTTCAGAGCTACCGGTTCTACAGAGGTGGACAGAACTGGTAGAAACCCACCCTTGCTTATGCACGCCCCTTAGAGACCTCTTAGGAATGGGGTGAGGTCCATAGTGGATCATTTGAGGTTAAAGGAGTGGGGGGTTTGAGGATGTAACTGCAGAGTCAGATAGTGCATTCCAGACATTGACCACTCTGTTATTGAAGTTGTACTTTCTGCAATCAAGTTTGAAGCGGTTAACATTGAGTTTGTATCTGTTGTGTACTTGTGTATTGTTGTGGTTGAAGCTGAAGTAGTCATGAATTCTTCATGAATTCTTCATGCTGACTGAAGAATTCTGAGAGTTGAACTCCACAAGTCTTAATGTTGCCAAGTTTGGGAACTCTTGATATAGAAGATACTATTAGTATCTTCTATTAGTATCTACTGCAAAAGGTACGGTCATTGAGATGTCCTGGTCTAATGAGCGAAGGATTAAGTGTGGAAAAATCTACATTCAAATGCTGTTCAGCCATCTGCATCTCACTGTACTAATATAAAAAAGAAAAAGCTAATAAAAAGATTCATTATCCATCATGTCTGGTTATTCTGGAAAACTAAGAATTTCAAGGAATTTCAGTTGCACCAGTCCAGAAGAATGTATTAACTTACATCTTTCATGGTTGTTCAGAGGCAAATCACTGGAATATTGAGGAACATCTGTCAAAGGAAAAAAATTAAAACCAGATTCTGTGACAAATCCTACTTTGTAATTTATTCCAAGAATCATCACAAGTGGGTTTTTTTTAAATAAAGAATTGTCTTACTTAAGTATTCAGAAAAAACACACATATTTTTTCCTCTGTAAATTATGACTTTGGATGACATGAAAAATAGATAGGGGAGATTTGTTGGGTAGGGGGGGGAAATCAATATGGCAATGATAATCAATATTTATTTATTAGATTTTTATTCTGCCTTTACTAGTATTTTGATAACTCAAAGCAGTAAACTACTAATACCCCTTTCTTCTGTTTTTCCTACAACAACAACTTTGTGAAGTGGGCTGGACTGAGAAAAAGTGACTGGTTCAGAGCCAACTAGTCAGCTTTTCATGTCTAAGGCAGGACTAGAACTCACCATCTCCTGGTAATCACCCCAAAGTCACCAAGCTGGCTTTCATGCCCAAGGCAGGACTAGAACTCACTGTTACCTGGTGTTTGGCTCAAAGTCACCTGGATGACTTTCCTGACTAAGATGGGACTAGAACTCAGAGTTTCCTGGCAAATGGCCCAAAGTCAGTCAGCTTTCATGCCTAAATCAGGACTAGAACTCATGGTCTCCTGGATTCTAGGCTAGTATCTTAACCACTATATCAAACTAGCAATGGATGCCCCTGAATTATCATTATACTTTTTTTGGTATTGAAAGTCTTTATTTAAGTTACAGGATATACTGTGTTTCCCCAAAACTAAGACCCTGTCATGTATGTATGTATGTATGTACGTATGTATGTATGTATGTATGTATTGTATTGTGCTTTGTTTGGGTATTTCCCCACGTCATTATAGTTGTGCTTTTAAAGTTGTAGCAACATTTCGGCAGAATCTCATCTGCCATCATCAGGCTTCTGTATTGTGTTTGTCTGTGAGTCAGACTTTCTCAGCCGTTTCTGTTTTAAATTTGGTGCTAGCCTACTGCTGTGCCAGAATATATATCCACCCAAAAAGGCACCAGGTCTTATTTTCAGGGGGAAATCATCCACTGACTAATCTTACTAGCGTGCATCGCCCCCAGCCTCTTTTTGCTGTCAGAGGCCTTCAGAAACTTCTTGTTCTGTGGCCAGCAAGGCTTTCCTGAAGGCCTCTGCAATGGATAACAGAGCTCTGGATCAATCTGGAGCTCTGTTATCAGCTACAGAGGCCTTCAGGAAAGCCTTGCCAGCCTTGCCGGCTGCAGAAGAAATGGGCCAGCAAGATCCGACTACAACTGTCCAAAAGTAAGTAGTAGGGCAGCTCCACTCCCCCATTCCCACCCTAGCTTAATTTTTACCCATCCACTCTGAAGTGAGCGGGATCTTAATTAGGGCTTATTTTGGCCGTAGGGCTTATATTGGGCACAACATGTGTAAAAATCAAGCTAGGGCTTACTTTCTGGTCATATTTTCAGGGAAACAGGGTATTACCAAGTTCATATTTTCATGCAAATGCAATCATCTGAACTTTTACAAATATCAAAAATGTACCTCCTCCTTCCCCTTCTTTTCTTCCTCTCTGGAAATCGGTATTACTGTTGCTTTCCAATTCTGCAGTAACTATTTAGAATAAAAGGCTATCAATACAGGAATGTAGACTTGATCACAAAACAACCCATCATTCTGCTTGTCCCAAATAACGGTTCAAATGAATTGGTTTTATTAAACAAGTTATAAATAAGTCAGATAAAATAATAATAATTGTAGTACTGATGGACTTACGCTCAGCTCCCGGAATCATTACAGGTGCGCCAGTGGTGGGCTGGGGAGTAACTATTAGATAGGTAATAAAACAAAATATCCTTGTGAGATTGTGTGAGCTAAACACACCTTAATGACATTTGAATGAAAATGTCAGCCATGACAATTATAGCTTTTGCCCAGATAGAAGCATCTTACTTTACAGTATAATCAGATTAGCCACCTACAGAAATATTTCAAAACTTTGACCTCACTACTCTTTCTGCCTGAATCCTCACCAACTATAATCCCATTTTAAAAAAAAATTCTCCAGGCAACAAGCTATTTTTGTTCTCATACTAGATGAAAAGCTGTATGGTGTCTGAAAATTTACAGCGTATTTTGACTAAACTCACTCCATCATTTTTAGCAAGGTATCAGAAGCCCAAAAGGAACTGAATAAAATTATTTGAGGGAATAAATGATCTGAATGTTCTGAAACTTCATGTGATGTGTCAGTTCAAAAAAACAATTGTCTTCCTAGTTTGTAACAAGTTGCATCACAATTTGCTGCATGTGATTGTAACATGTTGCATTAACAAATGCTGGCTGTACTTGATCAATCCCTTTCATGCCTTAGATAAGACTAGAACTCACGGTCTCTTGGTGATTGACCCAAAGTTGTCTAGTTGGCTTCCAGGCATAAAAGGAACTAGAACTCACAGCCTCCTGGTGATTGGCCTAAACTCAGCCAGCTGGCTTTCAGGCCTAAGGTGGAACTAGAACTCACAGTCTTTTGGTGATTGGCCCAAAGACAACCAGCTGGCTTTCATGCCTAAAGTGGGACTAGAATTTACAGTCTCCTGGTTTTTAGGCCAGCACCTTCACCACTTTCCTAAACTGGGTCGCAATATATCCCCCTGTGAATTCATGTCACCTTGTGATCTAAGAATTTTTCACACGTATTATTAATAACCCGCATGCAGTATTCCCCACACTATACCTATGCATTTGACTTCTCTGTATATTTATGTGTTTCTGTAAAATATGCAAAGGAGTTGACAATCAGGTTTGGGGTGGAAAAAAAGCAATAAAACAACTTTAAAACATCTATGTAAATTGTTGCCATTAAGTTGAATAGGGAATGAAAAAGAAATATATTAAAATCTATCTACCATTAATGCATAATTCCTCATTTCTTGGAAAATAAAGAACTTTGTATCAGTCCCTGTTAGGTTTTATTCTGTTCTTTTTGATTAATTTTGAGTCAAAATGTTAAGCTGCAGGGACCATCTGTCCATTCAAAATAGAATTTTATATCTCTTCATAAGGTCTTGGTTATCTCGCCCACTTGGTAGCCAAAAATTTGTAAACCTGATCTACATTTATTCCACCTCTTCATCCTGAATTTTAGGAGCTTCATTGCTTCTACAAAAGAGGACATCAAGACACCAAGTCTTTTGAAAAAGGAATTTTGGAAGAAATGTCCATCTGGTTTCAGTGGGGAGAAAGACACTGGAAACATGGAGGCTGATTGGAAAGATGGTTTATTGATGGACAGGACCACATGGGTTTTAGGTCCTGGGCAGCTGAACACATGAAGTGGAGAGAGAGGGATATTTATACCCTCTCTTGGGCCTTGCCCTTGAGCTTCCTGTTCCTGTGCAAGAAGTGTATTCTATTGGTTGTCAGACTCCCAGGGGACTATGCAGGGGTCATAGCTGAAGTTGTCTGAGATACATTTGGTTGAATCTTGCTGGGTGATGTAATGTCCCCAGGTGATTTCGCAATGCAGTGAGCCCTACTGCTAGATGGATAGAGGGCTAATCCTATTATGTCCTGAGGGTCATGTCTTAATCCCATCACCCTGGAGCTGAAGTTCTAATTGTCTTGTAGATAGACTGGCCCAGTCTTAATGTGCAGTAAATATCTGCTGGTGGAAGGGAGCTGCAGGGAGCTGTTCTTTGTCTTTAAAAACATGTTTCTCCTTTTCTCATCCAGAGAAATATTCTTCCTTTTTAATATTTCCTAGAATATTTCATTCTTCTAGGAGAGGGGTGGGTGCTCACTTTCTACAGGAACGATATACAATCTACGTGCATTTTCTTAATTGATAGTATTATAGATCCCTTTTGTTTTCCTGACTAAACAATCTCTTCACTTGGGGAAAAAAGCATCCAGAAAGAGAAATATGAAACAAGGAGAGGAGAAGGACAGGCACCAATGATCTGCCAGAATCCTATCTGTTAACTGAGTTTCTTTGGGCCTCAGGTGTTGAAGCTCTGCAGAAAAAAAATTAAAAGAGCAGTATTCTTTAAGTTTGGGGTTTTGTTTGCTTTTTTCTGCAGCCCAGAAATCAATACTGCTCTGCTAAAATAGACTTGGCAAAGAGACACATTATTCTTTCTTTAAAAAAAAAAAAAAAGCAGGCCTTCAAAATTCTTAACCATATCAGCCATTCTCTAAACATCTAAGGCAAGGATCTTCAAACTTGCCAAGATTAAGACTTGTGGACTTATAACTCCCAGAATTCCTGAGCTAACATGACTGGAAGAGGAATTCTGGGAGTTAAAGTCCCCAAGTCTTAAAGCTGTCAAGTTTGAAGACCCCTAATCTATGGGATGCAAACCTGTGTATCGACAAGTAAACTATTTTTCAGGAAAGTTATCAATGCCAATGCCACTTGATGGGATCCAAGAAGAACACATTTTCCATCATGGTGGCCAACTAATCTTTTTAAAAAGACTGAAGACTTCAAGGGCACTAGACCTGCTGAGAGAGGTTTCAAGAGTTTTATGGAGTGATGGTGCACAACTGCCAATTGCTTTGTTTTTGTGGGTTTTACCAGATTTTAAATTTGTCCCAAGATCCCCCAGTTTCATTTTGAATCAAGTGGTCCTATAAATTGGAGAAAAAAATCCAAATAGGTTTATTAAATTAATATTCTGTAGATATGAACCATACCTGAAGCAGGAACTGTGGTGTGGATTTTCACACTAGATGTTTCTGAAAAGAGAGGGAACATGTGTTATATAAATGCATCATATAATTGGGCATATAATATCACAGGAAGTTATTGCATGTATATAAAGCATGTGTAGCATATTGTGATTACAACACATATCATATTCCTTTCCGACATGCTCTATTTCCTGATCCATGCCTTAAAAAGCCTAGCAGGTGCTCCCTTCTTCTGGGCTGGCAAGTTGCAATGAAAAAAAAAAAGTGCCTGAGATTTTTAGCTTAGCATTTAATTTATCCAGATCTTTGGCTTGCTAGCTTTTGAGGGATATGCAAACTTTTAGGGCAAGTTGACAAGAAAAAGTTGGTGCCAGTTCAAAAGTCCATCATATCCTACCTCTATTTGATGATAGGTCTTGAATAGCCAATTCTATAGAGGGGGAACAGGGTCAGAAAAGTCCATCTGAAGCAATCATGATGCCAGGAAAGGTGTTGTCAGCTAAAAAGATATTCCTTTGGTCTTTTTAGCTGCCAGAAAAAGGGAGTGTGGGAAAACAAGGCATTCTTGAAATGCCTAGATATCAACTCAGCAGCCCAAAGTTGTCCAAGCATAAGAAGGTTATTGGAGAGCATAATGAATGGATGACTCTTGGAGACTGATGTGTCCTATTGGAGAAGTCACATCCATGGGGTGGGGGAAAGACCAGGGTCAAGGGGGAAATGTATGGTGTGATTTAGTACTGGCTGCACCCAGCCACGCACCAACATGGCAATTTCTATTAAACCAATTTACTTTTTCTGAGATGCGGCTAGAGACTTTTTATCTGGATGAGTGGGATTTGTGGGAGTCCTGATAGGTGTTTCCATATAGAAATGGGGCAGGTCATGTCCACCATCTTGAGAACTCCTCCTCCTCCCTCCCCCAGATGACCTTCATGGCTAGGAATGGTTTCAATTGTTTGAATATTTGCCATTTGCTTCCAAAAATACATATGTAAGCCCTCGACTTACAACTAAACCCAAAATTTCTGTTGCTAAGTGAGACAATTAAGTAGAGTTTTGCTCCCATTTTACCATTTTCCTTGCCATACTTGTTAAGTGAATCACTGCCATTGTTCAGTTAGTAACACAGTTGTTAAGTAAAACTGGCTTCCCCATTGACTTGGCTTGTCAGAAGGTCACAAAAGGGGATCACATGACCCCAGGACATTGCAACCATCATAAATATGAGTCAGTGGCTGAATTTTGTTCACATGACGGTGGGGAATCCCGCAATGGTCATAAGTGTGAAAAACAGACATGCGTCCCTTTCTATTACTTCAAACGGTCACTAAATGAACTGTTGTAACATAAAAGTCAATAAACCGCCATCTCCCTAGTGAGAACAATCAAACCAACCATGGGATGGGCCCTAAATCACTCTGGAATCCCCAGGTCCATTGGCCAAACCATGTTTTCAGGGCCTGTTGAAGTAGTATCGAAGTGGGGTCAATCTTATTTCTGCAGGGATAATTTTCCATGTAATAGATAAATAAAACCAATAAATTATTTACACCTGAAGTGATCAATGTTGGATATTTAAGGAATGGTCCATCAAGGAGCAAAGAGAAATGTCATTATGCCATGGAAGGAAGGGGTGGTATGGGGCCTATGCTGGACATTAATCAGCCAAATTGTTTACTACTTTGGGAACCAAAATTTATTATAACCAAGCACCATGTATTATATAAGGAGTGTCAAAATCTCTCCTTAACAGGGATGGGATTCCAAAATCCCAGCAACCGGTTTGCTGCCCAGTTGCTGGATGGGAGTGGCCATGGTGGTGCGGCCTACCGGAAGAGTAGGCCAGCCGGTCGGTCGGTTCAAATACTGGTTCGGTGAACCAGATGCAAATTTAACATCCGGTTCACCTGAACCGGTCCAAATCGGTAGAATCCCACCCCTGCCCCTTAGGCAAGGGTTTCCCAATCTTGACAAATTTAAGATGTGTGGACTTCAACTCCCAGAATTCTCCAGTCAACGTGGCTGGGGAATTCTGGGAGTTGAAGTCCACACCTCTTGAAGTCGCCAAGATTGGCAGACCCTGCCTTAGGATAACTCTTGCATGAGGTAAAATCAGGCGACCTTAATTCGTTTCAACCCGTGGCACCTTCAAAGGAATAAGATGAATTTACCGAGCAAGGAAATGAAGGACCTCAACGGGAAGGAAGAACTGAGAGATCATTTCCCCCAAGTTTCTCACCTGTCACCAGAGAGGAGCAGAGAGTAGCGTCAAAATTATTCAAGGAAGAGTTAACGGGAGAATGCAAGAAACATTCAATAGCTTCTTTGTCACAGTTGCAGAGCAGATGCTCACAGGAATCCTCAGATCCTGGGAGGGAAAATAAGAAAAAAACAGCATGTAAAAAAAGAAAGAGAGAGAAAAGCCCATTTACAAAGAGATGGTTTTTTTTTTTTTTTTGCTATAATCTGCTGACTCTCTGTAAGGTTTTGACCCAGAGGGAAACATTTTATATCCTGGACCCAGACACAATTCATCACCGCAGGAGGAAAGCAAGATTGAGTTCACCTCACAGCAAGAAGTCATTTGAACACAATAGAAAATTCATCTTTTTGTTAAAATGCTTTTGTTTCCCCCAAGAATTAAACTGTTGGGAAGAATGTTCATTCTAGAATGGCATGAATAAAATTCAGTAGCTTCTCTGAAAATACAATCTGCCATGCTGGTTAAATTATTGGGATGAGCAATAACAGAATAACAGAGTTGGAAGGTACCTTGGAGGTCTTCTAGTCCAACCCCCTGTTCAAGCAGGATACCATTCGAGACAAATTGTTGTCCAATCTCTCCTTATAAAGCTCCAGTGATGGACAACCCACAGCTTCCAAAAGCAAGCTGTTCCTTCTATTAATTGTTCTGTCAGGAAATGACTCCTTAGTTCTAGGTTGGCCTTATTATTTCTAGGTTGGGATAAGCAACATGATTTTGCAATAGAGTCAGAAATGGGGGATGTCAACAGTAAGAGGAAGAGAAAAGAACAATGTGAGATGATAAATTGTATCCTGATTTTATCTCACATGCTAAAGTTTGTAAAGTTAGGGATGGCGCGAACTTTGTCATCAGTGGTGGGGTTCAAAAAAAAATTACTACCAGTTGTGTGGGCGTGGCTTGGTGGGCATGGCAGGAGAAGGATACTGCAAAATCTCCATTCCCTCTCCACTCCTGGGGGAAGGTTAGTGCGAAATCCCATTCCCTCCTCACCCCACTAACCTGCTTTCCAGCTCCATTCTCCTGTGCAGGGCAACCAAAGAAAACCCAGCCGATCAGCTGGGACTCGGGAGGCAGAGAATAGATGGGGATGGGGCCAGTCAGAGGTGGTATTTGCCAGTTCTCTGAACTACTCAAAAATTTCAGTTCTTCAGAACTGGTCAGAACCTGCTGAATACCACCTCTGATTGTCATCCTTTCACAGTGCGTGATTCTTGAACTAAAGTCTTAGTTTTAATTTTAAAAATTGAGACTTTGGGACTTAAAGCTTATCCAATTTCTAAAGTTTCCAAATGTTTGGGATCTGGGCAACATGATAAAGTTGAGATGGCATCAAAGAAATACAGGATATGCATAGGAGGATATGCTGTGAGGCATATAATTGGTTTTCTGCATGAACTGCTGTGTGTTTTCCTGGAGATTAATAAAAAGACTTCTGAAGTCCTTCCTCACAACAAAACTGTCCACTATCCAAAAAAAAAAAAAAAAACCCACAAGGATGTAATTGAAGCTCTCGACACACATCAAAAAAAAAAATATTGCTTCAGTCACATCATCATGCGTGCCGATTTTGTTGAGCCCTCCTTTTCAGAACAATAAGTATTTGAATTACAATCAGAGGTGGTATTCAGCAGGTCCTGACCAGTTCTGGAGAACCAGTAGCAGAAATTTTGAGTAGTTTGGAGAACCGGCCGATACCACCTCTGACTGGCCCTGCCCCCATCTATTCTCTGCCTCCCGAGTCCCAGCTGATCGGCTGGGTCTTCTTTGGTTGCCCTGCACAGGAGAACGGAGCTGGAAAGCAGGTTAGTGGGGTAGGGAGGGAATGGGATTTTGCAGTAACCTTCCCCCAGGATTGGGGTGGGAATGGAGATTTTACAGTGTCCTTCCCCTGCCATGCCCACCAAGCCACGCCCACAGAACCAGTAGTAAAAGATTTTGAATCCCACCACTGATTACAATCAGGTGTATCCTCAGCGAGAAGTCAAAATAACTCAAGAGGGCAGCTTCAGCTGCACCATGTAAGCTCGGCCCTTTGCAATCTGCAAGCATAATGTACATTTAAAAGGGGGTGAGGCTTTAATTGGGCAGTGGCCATCTTGACTTCTTTGACCCTGCCCCCTTGTAGATGCCCCTGATTGCAATATTCTTTGTATAGGATTGCGCAACAATATTTTTGCTACAGGTAGTCCTGGACCTATGACAACAATTGAGACCAGCATTTTCATTGCTTTTCATTAAATGAGTTGGGCCCAATCGATCAATCAATCAGAATAGAGCTGGAAGGGACCTTGGAGGTCACCTAGTCCAACCCCTTGCTCAAGCAGGAGACCCTATACCCATTTCAGACAAGTGACTGTCTAGTCTCTTCTTTTAAAAAAAAAAATCCCAGTGATAAAGCACCTACACCTTCTGATGGCAAGCTGTCCCACTGGTTAATTTTACAATCTTTTTTTCTCTGCCATGGTTATTAAGTGAATTACTTCAGTTGTTAAGTGAATCACAACAGCTATTAAGCAAATCCATCTTCCCCTTTTGACTTTCCTTGTTGGAAGCTGGCTGTGGAAGGACACAAAATGGTGATCATGTGACCTTAAGATGCTGCAACCAAACATGTCAAATGACCAGCACCCAAATTTTGATCCTGTGAAGATGGGAGGCTGTGATAGTTATAAGTTCTAGAACGGGTCATAAGTCACTTTTTTTCCAGTGTTGTTGTAACTTGAAATGGTCACTAAATGAATGGTTGTAAATCAAGGGTTACCTGAACTTGTTTTTACAGCACATGACTGTATTAATAATAGAATGTGAGTCTGTGTGTTGACCCAGGGTAGGATACAAAAGGAATAAAGTCACAAAAACAGGTGAAGTCCCTTTAATTCCTTCTTGGCTTCAAAGGTCCAATTATCATTGACTGGAGAAAAAAACTCCCCCACAAACAGTTGCGAAAAGGAAGAACTTCTATTCAAACTCAAAATACATATAAATTATAAATAGGAAAAAAAAATTAATTAATGAGACAAGGCAGGATAAGGGCTTGAAGATGTCTACAGATATCGAAATACACACACTGGGAAGGATGCCAGAACTCAGATAAGAACTGACAGACTAGAAATATTTTCACGCTTTGCTTCCAGCACTGGCCCATGTGCAATTTGTCCTTTAAAACAGTCCTCACAGCTGCAGCCCATGAAGGAGATCAAGGCCCTTTCCTCCCCCATAGACCATGCCATTCATGTTTCTCCCTTATCTGCTCTTCTCTGCATGCCCTAGGATGAAGAGGGGATGAGCTTGGGTCTTCCTCTGAATGCCCAGCCAGCCTGTGCCTGTCCCCAGTTTCCTTCACAACCTCTGAAGCCACACTCCCACTCCCTGTCAGCTGTTCCTCCTCTCCCTCGGAGTCAGATTCTAACAGGGGCATGACAATCTGGGTAATTCCTGAACCACTTTATACATCTATACAGGTTGACTTATGACCACAATCGAGCTCAACCTTTTTGTTGCTAAGCGAGTCAGTTGTTAAGTTAACTTTGCCCCATTTTATGATCTTTGTCACAGTTGTTGAGTGAATTACAGCAGTTGTTACATTAATAACATGTCAGCTTCTCCATTGATTTTGCTTGACAGAAGGACCCAAAAGCTGATCACATGACCCCAGGACTTTGCAACCATCATAAATACATACCAGTTGCCAAGCATCCAAATTTTTTTCATGTGACTATGATGATGCTGCAATGGTCATAAGTGTAAAAAAAACGGTCATAAGACACTTTTTTCAGAACTTTGAACAGTCACTAAATGAACGGTTGTAAGCAGTGGTGGGATTCAAATAATTTAACAACTGGTTCTCTGTACTAATGAGTTCTTCCAACAACCAGTTCATCAAAGTGCTCAGAAAGTTAACAACCAGTTCTCCTGAACTGATGCGAACTGGCTGAATCCCACTACTGGTTGTAAGCCTACTCAGCTACCTCTACAAGTCAGGAGATGACTTCTTTCACTAACAAGAGAAAACAGGAGACTAAAAATTTGTTTTGTACTGCTTTACTACTTCAACCTCACCACAAGTGATGTTTTTGGTTAGACAACTGATGTTCATGGTGATTTTGGTAGGATCCCAGGTGCATTCTTCTTCCGTTGCCTCTTCATAGCATTTCCGATGTTGAAAACAGCAGCTGATTCCAGAAGAGAAAGAGAAAACCAAAATATCACTAGGAGGGACAGTTTGTGAACCTACTGGCGGCTTGAAAGTTCGGCCTTGGCTGACTCAACCGCTTTAAGCATTAATTTAAGCAATTAATTCACCGAGCGTTTCTGAACAACCACAAAACTAAAAAAAATGGAAAGACTTATCAGGAGTCAAACTGGTCTGGTTTCCATCTCACGACTGATTGGCTCAAGGATTAGCTTTGTTTTTTCAAACTTAGCTTCTCCTTGGAATACATAAGGTATCTGTCAGGATTTCCGGCAGTTGCCCTAATTAAATCATGAACCTGAGGCCAAGCTTCAAAAATGTCAAAGTATTTATTAGGAGCGAATATATTGGCATGGCCCGTATGAAGCCAATTTAGAGACACGTAATTCACTATCACCGTTTATCCTGTTTTCCTCCCACCCCTCTGGATGTTTCGTAATTCATATTCTTCAACAAAACATGTTCACAGCTGAGAGTCATCAATCACGTTCTCCAATTAGGGGTTTTCTCAGCAGAAATTCCGGTGGCTTAGTTACAATCTTTGCAAGATAAGAATGGAATGCACTTTTGGTTTTAAACTGCCTCCGGTGCAGGGCAACAAATGAAGACCTAGCCAATTAGCTGGGACTTGTGAGGCAGAGAATAGATGGGGGAGGCAGGGCGAGTTAAAGGTGGTATTTGCCGGTTCTCCAAACTACTCAAAATTTCTGTTACTGGTTCTCCAGAACTGGTCAGAACCTGCTGAATACCACCTCTGCCTCCTCAGTTGAGAGAGGGGTGTTGATTTTGACATAGATGGCCTCTTCACTCCTCTTTCAGGCTCTTTTGAAGACAGCAAAGTTCACATTCTGGATAGAGCGGACTGCTGGTTTGAAAGAGGGGTCAAAGAGGCCATCTATGTTAAAATTGAACAACCCTCTTGGAGAACTAATGACAGACCTTCAGAGTGCTAACAACCAGGTGACTGCGAAGAATATAAATCCTTCCATTCCCCATCTGTTAGTAAGAACTTCAAAAAGGTTCTTGGATGAGAAGAGAAACATTTTTCAAAAAAAAAACAACACTAAGAAAATCCAGTTGTCTTTTGGAAAAAGCACATTGGGACAACCCTGACCTTGGTGATTGAGAATCTCTACAGACCCAAGTAGGGTGATAGGAAGAAGTCAACGCCTCTAAGGTCCAAAGCTCACCCATCTACTTCATCCATGGGGAAGCCCTCCATCTCAAATCGGCAGGCACAGCCATAGTCTTCAAAGTCTCTTGGGCAAATGCCAGTCACACACTTCATTCTGCTCACAAAGTTGAGCAACGGAGGAAAGCTGGTGAATATGGACTGAAGCCAAGTGAAGTGAGAGCCCAAACAATCTGCAAAGATGGGAAGAAGCGAATCAGTTGATCAATCTGACATCCAAGCAAAGTGAAGGATAAGTTTGATATCTGCGACAGGTGTGCTGGTTGTCACCTTTAAAGCCCTTCATGGCTTGGGACCATGATTTTTTTATTTATTTATTTAATTTTTTCCCATATTTTGTTCTATTGTACTTTATTAATTTATTTGATTCTTTTTGTTAGTTTTTATTGTTTTTTTAATACATGATTTTACATTCTGTAAGCTGCCTCGAGTTGCCATGGGTGAATAGGCGGCAATATAAATTCAATAAATAAATAAATAAAATAAAATTTCAGGTTTGGCTCATCCTCCATCTAAAAAGACAATAAATATCCTTTAAGGGCTGTCTTGCAAATCTCTTAATTTCCAAAAAAGCAAAACAAGGAGGAACTGGTGAGTAGAAGTAGGAAATGCAAGTTTAGGTAAATCTTGTAGGCCTTATTGTGAAGGTCTTTGGGCAACATAAGGGCTAGATGGACAATCTCTGCTCACAGTCACCCCTGCCCTAGTTACCTCTGGTTTTGACTACTCTACATGGGGTTGCCCTTGAAAAGTATCCAAATGTGTTCAAAATGCCCACAAGTGGTTTTGTATGATTCACCTCTCTTGAGAAAGCTGCATTGATTGTTGATTTGCTTCTGGGTCCAATTCAAGCTGCTAATGGTTACCTTTAAAGTCTTACACTGCCAGGGGTCAAACTATTTGAAGGGCTGTTTTTTTTTCTTCATCTATCCAACCTATCAGAGCAGGAAGGCAGGGGATGTGACAGGACCCCTCTCTTAAAGAGGTCCATCTGGTGGAACCAAGAAGAATGGCCTTCTCTGTAGCAGCTCCCAACCTGTGGAACAGCAACCCTATGGAAGTTTAGCTTCACTTTGACACTCCTTCAAAAGGCCTCAGAGACATGGCTTTGCAGGCAGGCCTAAGGACCTCAGGGTGATATGGCGCCTATCAGTGGTTAGATTATTGTCCAGGGGGGAGGGCAGGGCAGGAGCTATTTGCTTTTGTATTGGGATTTTATTTCTGTAAGCTGCCCAGACCTACTGTGAGTTGGATGGCCATATACATTCTATCTATACTTCCATCTTCATTAATTAGCTCTTAGAACTTTTACAAAAATATGTGTCCTGTATAATTCATAATGCATTTCCTTTTCTTTTGGGATATATTAAATTCCAGAGGAATCCAACTTTTTGTATCATTCACCTATGGCACCTTTTAGTAGCGAGATCAGTGGTCAAAATAATGCGGAAGGGATTTATTCTTTAACCCTCTCGTTATGTCAAATATGCTTTTGCCTCATTGGCAGATCTAAAGGCATTCACTTTAGCTTCTTTCCTTCCTACTTCCATCCCTCCCTCATTCCATCTCTCCTTCCTTCTCTTTCCTTTCTTCCTCCCTCCCTCCTGCCCTCCCTCCTTTCTTCTCCCTCCTTTCTTCTTTCCTCAACGATAATATACATACATTTCTGATTATTAAACAATCAGAATGTTTAATAAAAATATAACTTATATTTGACTTGTCCTTTTAGTTTTTTTTACTGCATGGCTTCATTCAATTCATTCCACGATTGTCAATGAGGTGACTCCAATAAATGAATTCAAGATTTTTCACTAGATTTGCTTTAAAAATTTACCTTACTGATAAGCCACTTGTGAGCTATTAAGGTCTATATTAAAGTTTATCTGAACTTTGTTGCAGCTTTGAGTCTAATTCAAAAGGCTGAAACTATACTGTGAATGCCAAATCTGCTGCATCAAAGATATTCATTAATGTTAGTAGCACAGTGTTCTTCATCTCCTCTAATGCAAAGCTTCAAAATATCAGCTGGTGGGCCCCCCAAAGGTATGGTAATGTGACTTCCTTTTTCCTCTGGTTTCTAAGAAGCTTCACACAACAAATGTAATCCATTTTTTGTATTAATATTCTTAAGCAACACCCTAAAGCATATTGGAAGCAACAAAAGCTAACAAGTAAAATTATCACTAATGAAATCGAGCTGGTTGAAGAAATGCATCTGCCTTGTCTTCCTTTAAGCTGGTTAAATGTTTTGGGTGAACTCTGAGATGTTGTAGAAAGCCACTGCTGAAAAATGATGTGGATCTTGTACAGACAGATGAATGGGCCAATCTATACCTGCTTAGCCATGTGCTCTATCAATTTTACTTTTGTATTTCAAAGCAAAGACCAGAAGAGTTCTGACAAATTGTGCTTTGTCTCACCTTCCATTCACGATATGCAGCCGACTAGCTCTTTGCACCTGTCTGCATTCTGATGCATCCACGTTTCTTCATCGTTCGTGGCAAAAATTAGAACAATTAATCAATGGAACAACATGCCTCTGGAAAATGTGGGTGCTCCAATACTGGAGGCTTTTAAGAAGAGATTGGACAACATTTGTCTGAAATGGTAGGGGGTTTCCTGCTTGAGCAGGGGGTTGGGCTAGAAGACCTCCAAGGTCCCTTCCAACTCTGTTATTCTGTTAAATACCGATACAGACAAAGGGATCCTTTAATCCAATGGAAACCAACAAGCAAATAAAAGCCCACTTACCAAAGAACAAAGCAACACTTTCCACATTTTCAAAGACTCCGTTGAAGAAGGTGATATTATCTGAGGGGAAACATAAACTATTAAAACATAAATAGTTTCTACATATAAAGATACAGCCTTGGTTATTATTAAGATGGAAGTCCATGTGAAGTTTCCCAAATTGTAAGCTGCCCTGGGAATTTGAAAAACCATCCCAGTGGAACAGCAATTCTCTATTGCTATGAAGAGTTGAGCTGAACACAAGGAAATATTTACACCATCATGAACATTTTTCAGATCTTAAGAAAAATGAACGTATGGAGTGGAATCTAAAGTGAGACTGAAATGGGTTTACAATCTCCATTGGTTTAGTAATTCTGAGCCTCATAGTATCTGACTGAGAGCTCTCTTACAATTATCTCAACATGAAAAATCAGAGATCTCCAGATTCTGCATTCTCCTAATGCAGGCAACTTGCTGCTCTGGAGCCACATGTGGCTCTTTCATCCCCCTGCTGTGGCTCTCTGTTACAGTTGGCTCCACGATTGATAGGGCTTTAGGTTAGGACAGGTCCTTTAGAAAAAAGACGCCACACTAGGAGGAGACTCTATGGTGGGGAAAACGGACTTCTGGTCAGCTCTAGAATTGAACAGGGGCTTCTGGTTAGGACCTTTGTGGCTCTTTGAGGGTTTAAGGTTGCCGACCCCTAAATGCAATATTTCTCAGCCTAGCAACCTTACTGACTGGGGAATTCTGGGAGTTGAAGTCCACACAGCTTAAAGTTGCCAGATTTGAGGAACAGTGTCCTGTTGAAGAGAATATTTGTAGCTGGTGTTCTCTGAGCTGGGGTTGTTTTTCTTGCAGAGGTTTCATTAATCAACTAGATAACATCATCAATGCCCTGAAGATATTACATAGTTGGGTAATGAAATGTCTGCTAGAAAACTACCAATCCCTGAGAGCATCAAGAACTGCACCGTCCTGATATATCTGAAGAACATTAAAAATCACAGCAATTATATCACATCTTACACCAACAGGAAGCAAATTTCACCTTTACAAGATAAAAAAATCCAAGTTCCACCATCTGTCTCTTAATCTCTTAGCCTCAAACACAAACTGTTTATTTTTTAAAAAAATGAGTATGTTTATAGAAGCAGAACAGAATGGAGTTCACAATATGTCCATACAAACATACACAAATATACTTTTGGTGTCTCCATTTTTGCTAGTTTTATTTTGGTAGTGCAATTTAGGGTGGGAAACTGTTTTGTTTTTGGTGTTGCTCAAATTATTGAGCTATTTTCCAATGTAGCAAAAGTAAATGCAAGAACTATGGGGAAATTCCTTTATTCCATGGACCAGTTTGGCAAAATTGAGAAGTGCAAAAAATGATTTAATATAAAAGAAAGAAGTCAAACATATGGCAGTTTCCCCTCCATTTAATGTGAATTGGTACAATTCTGCACAATCTTACATTTCTGCTGCTAAGAAATCTTTTAATTGTTTTTTTCCCCTTTTTTCTTCTTTTTTGGTGAAGGTCAACATTAATGCACTTTAAGACTGCTTCAAATCCTGCCTCTGATTTCTTGAAGGGAGTAATTCAATCCTTTTGCTGCCTTCAAGATTATAATTTAATGTTTTCATTATCTATTAAAAGCCTTAAAACCTCTCAGAAACAAGAGGTCATGCTTTGAATACAGAAGGGCTCTGAAATTTCCTTCTTGTTATTTTTAGTTCATAACATCTCAGTAGAGAGCCAACATGGAGAATAGAGTTGTTTATAAGGGTTGTTTTTTTTTTTTATTTGTCAAATGTCTAGGTGGCTCCACTGCAAAACCAACTCTGGATTTTTTTAAAAAAATAGCAGGAATGTAGTATTAAAAGAAGAGCAATCACTCAGAGGGAGCAAATTCAAAAAAAGAATGCTAATCCCATTTTATGATTTAAAGAGGCTCAACCCAGTGATGGGATTCAAAAAATTTTACTACTGGTTCTGTGGGTGTGGCTTGGTGGGCATGCTGTGGCTTTATGGGCATGGCTTGGTAGGCGTGGCAGGAAAAGGATACTGCAAAATCTCCATTCCCTGCCCACCCCACTAACCTGCTTTCCAGCTCCGTTCTCCTGTGCAGGGCAACCAAAGAAGACCCAGCCGATCAGCTGGGACTCGGGAGGCAGAGAATAGATGGGGGTGGGGCCAGTCAAAGGTGATATTTGCCGGTTCTCTGAACTACTCAAAATTTCCTCCTCCAGTTCTCCAGAACTGGTCAGAACCTGCTGAATACCACCTCTGGCCCAACCCAACACAAATCTAAGATCCAAGGGAAGAGCTCAGTTTTAGGTAAAGACAGTAGGGTGAAGATTATACAAAGTTCTGGGGAAATGCTGCCTCCAAAGTTGGACAATGTGGAAACTGCCTAACATACAGCTGAAATCTTCTAGTCTACATTGCTCATTGATTGTAGAAAAGAGATGGGATTATCTTGGAGAAGAACTGCAGAGACTACTAGCAAACCATGAATTCATTCTGGAGAGACAAGTAAAAGAAACTTACAATTGTCCAACAGTGTCACTTTGGTGTAAACTTTGTTGTAAAAGACTTACGTCAGACTTTGGAGGTGGGCCAGGTTGGGAAACAGGACCACCAAAAATGCTAGAAGCCTACTTTACTGGCAGACTCTCAAAACCTATCAGCATTTCCCCATCCTTCCTCTTATACCTAAGTGAGTCATGATGATGCAGTCTTGAGTTTCTTTCTCACACGTTTCTGTTTTTCTAAGCTACATGTTCATGTTTTGCTAATGGTCTCAACAGATCTTCTCCCTGGTTTTCTCTACATCTGCCTTTAATCTGGCCCCATCCAGTTATTAACTGGAAATTAGGAGAAAAGGTAGAGAGTTGAGATGCCAGAGCTTTATAACTCCTTGTTTGTCCCACAAAATTGGCTGTCTGAAAAAGTATATCTTACTTAGATTTCTTTCTGTTGCGTGTGGGAGGTCCAAGGAAATGCCTGTAGCTCCTGTCTCTGATCCTTGAGGAGAGAAAGAAAGAAAGAAAGAAAGAAAGAAAGAAAGAAAGAGAGAGAGAGAGAGAGAGAGAGAGAGAGAGAGAGAGAGAGAGAGAGAGAGAGAGAGAGAGAGAGAGATGCATACAAAGGGGAATTCAATTAGCTCTTGAGAATTAACATCCCTAAACCATTCCACACTTTACAAAAGATAAACCTAGATTGAAACCCCGCCCCCTTCCCACAAGAATGATGAGCATAAAGTTGCAAAAAATTATGGAATCAAGTTTTTATACATATAACTGAAACAGGATTATTGTATTCACAAAGATGGGGAAGATTGGCATTATCCACAATAGAAGAATGGTTGATGAAGGTGATGGAACTTTCGAAAATGGCTAAATTGTCTTCTTTGATCAGAAGAAAGGATAAAATCTACTGTATATTTATTACTGGTTTGAAAACCCTTATGGGCTTTTTTCATGAAGCAGAAAAAAATGAATGTATGGTTTTGATGGTTTTTGATGATTAGACAGATCATAGAAAGAAGAGAGTCATGCTGTAACCACAGAGTAAAAGACAATTTATAATTGTGCTTATAACAGTTGTAAAGATCAGAAGCTACCCACTTCCTTGTATTATTTTTCTTTCTTTTCTATTTTTCTATTATTTTCTTTTTTGCACTTTTAGCTTTCATTTTGATTTCTCTTTCTTAGTTTGTATTCATTTTAAACTTCCCTTTTAACGACCTTCATACAATTATATATACATAGGATATCTAGGAATATCCTCGCTAAGGAGTCATATCTCAGTTTCTAATACTATATTTATTAATTTAGAAATCACCTAAAATCATCAGTCCTTTTTGCCTAAGATTAGTGTTATTAGTTAACACAATTAGTAACAGTAATAGAGTTGGAAGGGACCTGGGAGGCCATCTAGTCCAACACCCTGCTCATGCAGGAAACCTATACTATTTCTGACAAATGGCTGTCCAGTCTCTTCTTAAAGGCCTCCAGTGATGGAGCACCCACAACTTCTGAGGGAAATTTCTGTTCCACTGGTTGATTGTTTACACTGTTAGGAATGTCCTTAGTTCTAGGTTGTGTCTCTCCTTAATACCATTCATTGTTTTTTGTCTTTCCTTCAGGTTCTTTACTAAAAAAGTTGTCCTCCTCTTCCTTTAAGTACTATCAACTATCAACTAGCCCTTCAAGAGTACTATCATGTCACCCATGGTCTTTCTTGTCACTAGACTAGACATACCCAATTCCTGCAATTGTTCTTCATATGTTATAGATTCTAGGCCCCTAATCATCTTTCTTATTTATACAGATTATTAGATAATAATTCTTCAATAACAGGATAATTATTCCTATCCACAGAGAAATCCTAACTTGTCACAATCAAGGCATTCAGTGAGCACCACAAGAAAGTCATTATGTGTAACATTCAAAAATAATTATGCATTTACTGTTAACCTGGTCATGTTATTACTTAATAGTCATACTGAGTAAATACAGGTTATCCAGCCATGGATATCTATATATCTGCAGCCTTTCATTCTAGAAATCTGTTGTAGTAGTAGCAATAGTAGTAGTAGTTGTTGTTATTGAATTGTTATTATTTAAATGTATAAGCCACCTAACTCCCAATTATCATAAAATCAATAACGGACAACTTTATTATCAAATTAAATAAATGGGATTTAATGTGTAGATCTACTTTTACTCTGTTTTACCTAATAATATTAATAGCAATAACAACAACTATTCTGCCTGCAGAAATTCACCCCAAGGAGTTATTTGAGCAAACTGCCTATACCAAATAATATAGAGAAGAGGAAGGAAACAAAACAATGGCATGATTTTTCACTTACCACCATTATGTAATATCATCAATATAGTCATCAATTGAATTATCAGCATTATTTTTCAGGAAGCTTGCCTGGTGGATTAAATACAATGTTTATATACATGTTTTTTATGACAATAAAGTGTGGTTTGCCCATGATATAGCATCAAATTACAATACTTGTGCTTTGCGTATAACCACATGGTAATTACCAAAGCAGATGTCTATGGAGACTCTCAA